TTTAAATAATTTTTTTTACTTTTTAGACATACCTAACATAAATATACTTAAAAAGTAAAAAAATTACAATTTTTTTAAAAAAAATTCACTGAATATCAAAAATATAAAAAAATACAAGAATTCAGTACATTTTTTGTATTTATTAATTTTTTAAATATTTTTTCACAATTTTTATTTTTTAGATACATCTAAGTACGGTGCATCTAAAAAAGTAAAAAAAAATATTTAAAATTTAAAAAATATTCACTAAAAATAAAAAAAAAAACACGAAAACTAAAAAATTCAGTTTTTAAAAAACTTAATATAAAAAACTGAAACCAAACACATTGAATATAGTTCTTTATTTAAGAATTGTTTAGAATCACCTAAGTACATTTTATTTTATCAGAGATTGAAGAAGCCATTTTTGAAAAGAAAAATGGCTAAAATCACTAATTAGTGGTAGTATTAATGATGTGACAGTCACAATGTTATTGTATTTTTTTTTAAAATATGTGTCAATGCACTAGTAATATTTTAAAATGTTACTTTTAGGGATATGAATCATTGTAAAAAAATAAACAGTGCAGTGCAGTGCAGTGCAGTGGTGTGGTGGTGATGATCTAAGTCTTTGGTGGTGTTTGGTGTAGCTGTTAAAACAGATTATAGATTATAATGACTTTAATCAGAAGCGGTTAATCTGTTTGCTATGCTGTTGGATTATAGATTTAAGTTGCTGAGTAGTGTTTTGTTAATAGCTGTGAAGTAACTTTTTCAATTAATTTTTATTTTTTATTATTCACTATTTGTCTACAATTTTTCATAAAAAATAATAATAAATATTTAATAGTCCATTTGAGTCTTTTCTATTTTTAAAAAAATAAAAATAAAAAAATCTTTAAGAGTATAACCGTGAATTAACATGTCCACAAAGCAGAAGCTGATCAATCAGAAGCAAGGGTGTGAGCAGCTTCTCAGAATCAGCTTTTTTGACTTAAAATAAGTTTGTTTAAGAATCAGAAGCTGTTTGAAATAAATTTAACAAACAGTCCAAAATAATTTTTAAAAAGGCCAGAAGCCATAAGTTAGCTTAAAAAAAGCTGCACAAACACCCCCTTTATAGACTTTTGATTGATTGAGAGAGAGAGAACCAATTGATGGGATCAATTTATTTAGTTAGACCATATAAATTCGGAGATACTGGTAGGTGAATCATGCTATGCACATGGACTTGTTTAGGAGTATGCTATTGTAGTTGATTATTTAATTTTTATTATTATTTAATTTAGTTAAAAAATTATATTTAAAATTATAATTGATTTAATAATTATAAAAAAATTTAAAATTAAATAAATATTTTTATCTTTATTAATTTGTTAATTTTAATTATTTTATTTTAACCAAATAATAATATAGTCAAACAAACTTATAAAATTGAAAAATCCAAAAACATAATCAAATAAAAGTGATCCACGCTATCATAAAGAACAGAGAAAATAATAATGTGGCCAAGGCGGCAGCAATATTCTTATTGAGGGACGTGATAGGAAGGCTAATAGAATAATTAGCTAAAAAAAAAAAAAAAACCTAATCACTATGTTTGGTTATGATTTTTCAAAAACACTACAAGAATTTAGTATATTTTTATATTTTTTATTGTATTATTAATTTTAAAAATATTTTTTCACAATTTTTTACTTTTTTAGATGCACATCTAAGTAAGGTGCATCTAAAAAAGTAAAAAAAAAATGTTTAAAATTTTAAAAATATTCACCAAAAATTAAAAAAAACACGAAAATCAAAAATCTCAATTTTCAAAAACTAATTAAAAAACTCAAAACCAACACACTGAATGTAGTTTTTTATTTAAGAATTGTTTAGAATCACCTAAGTATATTTTTAATATTTTATAAAAGATATAAATAGTAGTAGAAAGGTTATGTGATTCAAATAAAATAAAAACATGCTAAATAACCCCTTAATTTAAATTTAATTTTTTTTATTTAAATTCATCATTTATTTTTATTAAAATAAATTTCAATTATTAAAGCACAATGTAAATGTCCACATATCCTTTTCACTGAGTTTAATAATTAAAATATTATTTTTTTAGTTATTTTTACTTAGCAAAAATAAACATATGATTTAGATTATAAAATAATCAAACATTAGATTTTAAATTGATAAAATTATAAAAATTAAATATTTATTTGTTACAAAGATATTTTTTTTATTATTATATTCACTGTTTATATGATTGATTACGGTTCCGCTTGGGATACACATTAATAAGGCTAAATGTCACATGGAGAAAATTGGCTAATTGTAGCCAAATATGATAAAAATTCACATCTACACATAATTTATTTTATTTTTTCTCTCACTGAAAGTCAAAAAATCTATCACAAACCGATGACTTTTTTAAACAATCCCAACACTTAGTCAAAAGTAATTCACATTCCCCAAACATACTCTAGTATCAAAGGCCGTTTGGGAAGTGCGCTTCTAGTTAAGGTATTTGGATTTTTTGGTGCTTATTTTAGTAGGCTATATTTAAGTTTTGTGTTTAGGAAGATGGACATGAATTTTTAGTTGAATGTTGTATTTAGAAAAGTGTGTTGAAATGATGTTTAAATTTAAAATGACGATTATTCCCTACACTTGTCCGCTGTGAAATGTAAGGCCTGTGCCTACACGTCCGGGCAGCAGTCCTATTTTTATTTTTTTTTTGAAAATCAGTAAAAGGTGCTACAAGTCGCTTGACTTTTGGGCCTAAATTTTCCAAAAGAGGCTATATATAGCCTCAACCTCTGATTGCCAACCACCCAAAGTTTGTTTTAACACTTTAACAATAATCAGTACAAGTATCCTAATGGCATTTGGTTAAACTGTGTTTAATTAATTATAGAACGGTGCTACACTCGTTATATTCTTATCAACATATTTTAAGTATATCCTAGTTTAAAGATGTAAAAAAAATCAAATTAATGAATAAAAATTTTAAAATTTTAATTAACTAAATTATGAAATTTTTTCATCTGGTGTAATTATTTTTTTGAACAATTTGACCCTGATTTGGTAATTTTTTTAATTAACAAACCTTTCATTATAGCATTATTGCCAATACTCAAATCACCACACTTAAAAAACAATAAAATCATAAAGGCACCAGAGGCAACTTGAAGTTAGATAGCTTATAACGACACAAGTGCCAACATTACAACGCAAGTAACAGATGGTCTTGCACTTTCACTTCCAATTAGGCATTTCAAGGCAAAATATTTATTTTTTTAACTAACAATAATACAATGTTATAACAAAACACATGATAGATGCGAAAAATTATTTTATAAAAAACAAAAAAGAAAAAAGCAAAAAAACAGAAGAGAAGAATAGGTACCTGTTGGCTTTTTGTGCTTTTCGAAGGGTATTTTGTAAATGTGATCGTGCAGCAGGATCAATACAGGTCCTTACACGAAATTGGTGATTGTCAACAATTACCAAAGATCGTTGTGTTTTTAGTTCTTCAGCCTCAATGAAGAGGACTCTTTACTGTGGCTTTACTTTAGGGAAATAACAAGGAATAACAGTAATGATAACGAAGACATTGAAGTATTGTTCATTAAATGAAACACTTACAATGGTCCACACACTCAGCCTCCGGAGAGGTTACAACCAGCAATCAAGCTTGATATCTATTGAAACTACTCCTATGCAATCGAAGTGCAGTGCGGGTATTTAAAGTGCAAGTATTTAAAGACAGGTATTGTAAAGACTGGAAATGTTAAAAAGACTAGAGAAGAAATATATGAAGATCAATGGCTGACTTTGTATGCTCTGAGATCTGCTTTTTTTCTGGGGGCTGCCCTGCTATATTCATACTCGCAGTGATGACTTCGAACATGCACATTTGAACGCGTCGAACTGCTCCTATCCATGATCCCGCTGATCATGCTTCCCTACAAGCTAGCTCCACTACGCCATTTTTTTTTATTTTTTTTTATTTTTTTTTTTTACTTTTTTTTTTTTAGCAGTTTGAGCTTCCTCTTGTATTTGAATTTGATATGAGTACCGTTGAACGCTACCTGTCATCTTGCATCCCGTTATTGATCTAGTGTTACTCAAGATCAATGTGAGAACCAATATTTAATTGCCACGTGTAC